CAAGGCGGCGGAGGCGGCGGTGGTGGCGGCGGTGGCTGCTTCTCCCGCACACAGGCCTGCTGTAGGGCGTCCAGCATGAATAGTAGGAATTCGTGGGCGTCCTCCTGCTGGTCCACGTGGAAGCCCGCGAGCAGCTTCCCCTTGGGCACGATGACGTCCCCGGGGCGCAGGAGGGCCCGGGTCACGTGAGCCTGCAGGGCACACACGGTGCAGGATGCCCGCTGCCTGCAGGCCCGTGAGTGCCGCCCGGACAGCAGGTAGTGGGCCAGGGGCGGGGTGTAACTGAGGCACTGCAAGGCTGTTAGCGTAGCAGGTGTTGCTGAGGTTCTGGAGCCCCGCCCCCACTGCGGGGGTCTCCCCTGGCTGCAGCTCCTACAGCCCATCAGGGAGAAATTAGAAAGGTTTTGGGGCCTCTAGTGAGCCACACAATCCTCCCCGGGGGTGTGCGGGGCTGCTGATCCTGGGAGGGTACCGGCGTGTGCGTCCGCACGTGGTATTTTGTGGAAGAACAACACTCAAGGGGCCAGTTTGCAGACCACTGGTCTAGTCGCTATCAACCAGATCTACCTGAAGAAAATCTTATTAGTCTAGAAATGGTTGATTCCTCCTACAACAGACTGGGCTCTTTTCAGCTAGGCCCCCAAGAACCGATGGTCAGAATGAAAATTGGGTTCCAGACTGTTAACTGTATGGTTGATATAGGAGCTGAGCACTCATTAGTCACACAGAAAGTAGTACCTCTCTCAGGAAAGGAGGTCACCATTATTAGAGCTACTGGGGACCAGACCCATAGACCATTCTGCCGCCCTGATCAATGCCATCTTGGCGGCCACCAAGTAATTCATGAATTCCTGTACTTCCCAGACTGTCCAGTACCTCTGATGGACAGAGACCTTTTAGCCAAAATGGGCAGAAATCACTTTTGCTCCAGATGGCTCAGCACAGCTTCACCTATGTGAGGAGACCTCCCCAGTGATCCCATCCTTCGCAGTGCTGAGGGAGGAAGAATGGAAACTTTATACCCCCCAGTCAAAGGCTTCACCATAAGAACCTGAATTAGAAGAATTCCCTATAGTCTGGGTGGAAGGGAATCCTTTAATCAACTTAAAGCCTGAGGCACTGCCTGTTAAAATCCACTAATATCTGATTCCAAGGGAGGCACACCTAGGAATCCAGGTCCACTTAGACCGGCTGCTTCAGTGGGGACTTCATAAATGATGCCAGTCTCCATAAAACACTCCTCTCTTGACTGTGAAAAAGCCTGGGACTAATGAGTACTGCACCGTGCAGGACCTGCAGACTGTTAATGAGGCTGTTATAACCTTGCATTAGGTGCTACCACACCCCTACACACTTCTGGGACTCATTCCATCAAAGGCAGAATGGTTTACGTGTCTAGATCTGAAAGATGCCTTTTTTTTACCTTCAGCTGGCACCCTCCAGTCAGCCTTTGTTCACATTTGAGTGGGAAAACCCAACTACGGGGGCGAAGGAGCAGTTCACCTGGACCAGACTGCCACAAGGATTCAAGAATTCCCCTACTCTCTTTAGTGGCACACTAGCATCTTATCTTTCTAAATCCCAAGGACTGGATTTGGGGTGCATTCTACTTCACTATGTATACGACCTCCTAGTGGCAAGCTCCATGTGAGCTCAGTGCTGGGAAGGAACGCAAACCCTTCTGAGATTCTTTTTTTTTTAATTAAATATATTTTATTGATTTTTTACAGAGAGGAAGGGAGAGGAATAGAGAGTTAGAAACATTGATGAGAGAGAAACATTGACCAGCTGCCTCTTACACACTCTCCACTGGGGATGTGCCCGCAACCAAGGTACATGCCCCTCACCGGAATCCAACCTGGGACCCTTCAGTCCGCAGGTGACGCTCCATCCACTGAGCCAAACTGGTTAGGGCCCTTCTGAGACTCTTAACTGAAACAGGTTACAGGGTGTCCAAGAAAAAGGCACAAATCTGTCAGAAAGAAGTCAAGTATCTAGGCTTCTGAATCACCCAAGGGAAACGAAGGCTAGGGAAAGTAAAGCAGGCAGTATGTGCCATCCCAGTCCCTAGCACCGGTGGCAGATTCAGGAATTCTTGGGAGCAGCAGGGTTCTGTTCAATTTGGATCCCTGGGTTTTCAAACCTAGCCAAGCCTCTCTATGAAGCTTTGAAAGGGGAAGAGAAAGCACCCATTAACTGGAGTTCTGAGCAGGAAAATGCCTTTATCACTATTAAAGCAAAGCTCACTGTGACCCCAGCACTAGGGCTACCAGATATAACACGGGACTTTAACCTCTTTGTTCATGAGAACAGCAGGGTAGCCCTAGGAGTTCTAACCCAGGAGTTTGGACCCTGGCAAAGACCAGTAGTCTATCTCTCCAAGCAGTTTGACCCAGTTGCCTCTGGGTGGCCCCGGTGTCTCAAGGCCCTTGCATCCACAGCATTATTAGTCAAAGAAGCAGATAAGCTTACCTTGGGACAAAGCTTAAATATCAAAGTACCTCATTCTGTTGTCACCTAATGGAAGCTAGGGGGCAGCACTGGCTGACTCATGCTCAGATGACCCAGTATCAGGGGCTCCTATGTGAAAATCCATGGGTACAAATAGAAGCAGTGAGAACTCTTAATCCTGCCACCTTTTTACTCGTTGCTGAGACTTAATATTGTTCACAGATGGCAGTAGCTTCCTAGATGAAGGAAAAAGATGAGCTGGGTATGCAGTGGTATCAAACTTTGAGACAATTGAAGCACAGGCCCTGCCTGAAGAATGGTCAGTGCAAAGGGCAGAACTTTGGGCCCTAGCCAGAGCCCTAGAACTCAGTAAGGATAAGCGTGCCAATATTTACACTGATTCGCACTATGTCTCTGCTACCCTTGCATATCCATGGGGCTATAGACCAGGATAAGGGGCTCCTGATGGCTACAGGAAACGGAATAAAAAAATCAGAATGAGATCTTAAAGTTACTAGAAGCAGTCCGGGAGCCCAAGGAAATAGCCGGCATCCATTGCAAAGGTCACCAGAAAGGGAAAGACGCAGTGTCAGAAGGAAACCAATGTGCTAATGCTGCAGCCAAGGTGGCTGCTAAAGAACAAGTAGCACCGTCACAGATCATGTTGGCCCCCAAATTACCTGAACCTCCAAAATACACTCCTCAGGAAGTGGAATGGGTTCAGCAAGAAGGGGGCAAGAGAACGAAGGAAGGTTGGTGGATACTCCGAGATCATAGGGTCTATGTCCCAGAACAGTTAGCCCATAAGGTAATACTCCAGCAGCATGAACTCACTCATTTAGGGAAGATTTCCCTAGAAGCTTTGTTAGGCAGATACTACCTAATTTCCCGTCCTCCCTCCTTGTGTGCATCAGTCTCTCAAGGTTGCATCCTCTGTGCACAGAACAACGTCAAACAGGGTCCTGTAGGACCAATAGGAGTTCAGCACTGTGGGCAAGCTTCCTTCTAAGACTTAGAAATAGACATTATGAAAATAGGGCCTAGCAGAGGAAATAAATACCTGCTAGTCTTTATTTGCACCTTTTCAGTATGGGTCGAGGCATACTCCACTCTTACGGAAAAGGCAAGAGAAGTCACTAAGGCATTACTGAAGGACATAATTTCATGATGTGGAATGCCTCTGACCATAGGATATGATAATGGCCCAGCCTTTGTAGCAGAATAGTACATCAGGTAGCTAAGGCTTTTGGAAGTAAATGGAACCTACATACAGCTTACAGGCCTCAGAGTTCAGGGAAAATGGAGCTCATGAACCAGACTCTCAATCAGGCTATGCCTAAGCTATTGCAAGAGACATCCTTACACTGGACAGATATCTTGCCTCTTGTACTCCTGCGGGTATGTTGGGCCCCGAGGGCCAAGGTAGGTTTCTCTCCCTTTGAAATGCTATATGGCAGACCCCCTCCCTTAATTCAGCCATAGGGAAGTATGGACTAGAAGCCATACTGCTTCTACTAGCTACTGCTACACTGGAATAAGTCTCTGCATATGGAAAAGACAGTTCTACTGGACAGGTAAGCTCCACAACCATTATCAGGGACCCTCAATCAGTGCATACATCTGTTGTGCCCGTATGAGGGACCAAAGCTTTTTTGACTGAGCCTGAGTCAGGGAAGCCATCAGACTAGAAACAATCAAGCAATGACAGGAAGCATCCAAGGTACTGGTGGTACCCAGACTAAGAACTTGGCCACAGAGGCAATATGAATCGGACACCTGATTCTATCAGCTCCTCGATTCAGCCCACCACCTACTCAGTATTACCAACCCTAATATGGATAGGGATTGCTGGTTATGTCTTTCCCCAGGACCACTCCTATTAATGGTTACCCCAGTAAACATAACTAAACCAGGGAACTTAGCGGAAGAAATAATAGAACCTGTCATGGCCAATGTGCATCTAACTAATGTTGCTCCTATTTGTTTCAGCAGTATCCAGGGCCAAGATCCAATATGTCACCTCTGAGATGATCTGTGCAACTCCACTCTCAAGGCTGAAAACACCACCAACCCCTCGTGCCCCACTGTAGGAACATTCTACGTGTGGGACCACTGTTTACCCCTGCCTGCCTGCAAATTGAACAGGAGTGTGCACTCCTGCTATATAACCCCAGATATGTCTATTATACCCAACAACCAATCCCTTGAAACCCCCCTTAAAGCAGTAACTATATATAAAAGGGCTCTGCAAGTGACTCCTCTTCTAATAGCAATCGGAATTGCGGTTGGAATAGGAGCTGGGGTAGGGGGAATAGCTCACTCTGTCTCCTTTTATCAAGTTTTAACCTAAGAATTTTCAGGAGACATAGAGAAAGTAGCTGAGACCCTAATTGCCTTGCAGGATCAAGTTGATTCCTCAGCCACAGTAGTACTCCAGAATAGAACAGGATTAGACTTACCAATGGCAGAGAAAGGTGAAATCTGCTTCTTCTTAGGAGAAGAGTGCTGCTTTTATGCCAACAATTCAGGCATTGTCAGAGATAAGGCTAAGGATCTAATCGAAGGAGCAACAAAAAGAAGACAGAATCTATCTGAGTCCTGGGCTTCTTGGGGGGGGCGGGGGTGGGGGGAGGGTCTGGAAATGG